GTTGTTGTTGTTGCTATTTTTTGTAATCGCCTCACACTCTGTCGAGTTGTTTTGAAGTCGTAACTAGTTTTGAGTAGTTTCCTTATATTAACAAATGTAAATCCAGATGCATGGTACTTAATAATAATATTTTAAATCTCTAGGGTTATTTTCCGTCCTTCTTTAACGGGCGATGCGTCGAAAGAAATAAAAGAAAATTACTTACTGTATTTGGTCATGGCAAGATTCGGAATGCTTTCTGGGCGTGGCTTGCATAATTATTTCAAAAATTATTCATGAACGGTCCGGTTGGCTTTGTGCACGGTACGTTACGCTTCTTGCACGGTACGGTTCGTTTTGTGTACGGTACGGTTGGCTTTGTGCACGGTACGGTACGCTTCTTGCACGGTACGGTTCGTTTTGTGTACGGTACGGTTCGCTTTGTGCACGGTACGGTACGGTTCGTTTCTGAGGTGTAGTAGCACGTTTTAGGGTCTGTATATATATATGTATCTATATAGCTATAAACGTTCTGCATGCACGCCTAGTTCGCCTATATTGTATCTCCTTTGATAATTTTGGTTACAAAAGATAAAGAACTTTAGAAGCTGAACTAGACGCTATCATTTAGGTTTATGATGTTATATACAACAAAAACATCTAAATTTAAAAATTTTTAAAATTCTAAAATTCTTTACTTCTGTTTATAGATCTTTACGATGAAAATTTGATTTTTCAAATTGTAAGTTTGTGAAGATACGCTACAGAAATTATTTTATCTTCTACAAGGATATGTGAATGTTTTAGATCAAAGATCAGCTTTTTCTATGAAAGTTTTGTAAATAAAAAAAAATTGTAAACCGTATTATCAATCAGTTTTAAAGAAAGAGTTTAATGTTGAACATACAGAATGGAAAAATATATAACAATGTTGATTATATGACATGCCCGATAGCTATCTTACAGAATCAATTAACGTTTAAACAATATACATTTATTGCATGATAGTGAGGGAAATATGAAGATTTCTTCACCCATGAAAAATCATATTCCCTCGTTCCCCGAGGGAATAATAATATTTTTTGTAATATAATGTCAATCTAGGTAAACACATAGTCATTGCAAACTATGCCACATTAACAAAACTTCCCAACATCTTATTTTTAAATGTGATAATGATACCTTAACATAGAAATTTAATGAAAACCTATAATGACTGGATTCAGCTCTGAGCGTAATAGAAAAAAAATGTATCACTCAATACACTCAGCTTTTATGTTGCATGTAAAATTCATGATGCACTGTCGACTATATTCATTGGATGAAACCGACTAGAACATTCTTAATCATATGCAATCTTCATTTTTTTTGTTTACGCTTCAATTCTGAATTCCCTTGCAGACTATAGCCTTTTCAAAAAAGATTGTTCAAAAGAGTTTGTAGAAGTTTGTAAATTACAATATACATGTATGCTGTGCGGCTCAAAGCACGTTGAAAAGAAGGAAGTGTATGAAAATGCTCATAGTTGCAGCATTTATAATTAACCTTTTTTAATATATATATATATATATATATATATATATATATATATATATATATATATATATATATATATATATATATATATATATATATATATATATATATTCTGTATTTCAATATACTTCAGAAAAGAAAACTAAATTAAATTATATACTATACGACTAAAATTCCTCATTTATGGATGATCCCAGTAAATCTCTTAATTTTCACTAAAAAGGTATGATACCTGCAAAGTTTACTAATTATTGAATTACTGTGTATTAGAAATTCCGCAGCTTCACTTTTTCGCGATCCGACTCAGCTTTTCCGCAAAAGAAATCAGGCTTTTCCGCGACAAGTTTTACTGCTATTCTGTAATTATACAATGTATATCTTTTGCTTTTCCACGATTTGTTTTAGCATACACCTCCTCCGTTAGCCAGGTAAAACCTGTTTCTCCCTGCTTACTAGCGTTTTCAGTCATTTTCTCATTACTGAGATTGCCATTTTTTTATTTTATTTTTTTTTTGTTTCTACCTCGGCGATTCCTATTGCATCGGTTGTAATATAATCGGCAAGACACATCGCCATTCTTTCTAAGCATAAATTCCTCGTTTATAATACATTTGTTACCACGTTTTGTTTCTTTATGAACAATTTCCATAATATCTAGAACATAATCGACCGGTGTAAAATGTGATTCATTCAATTTTTATTACACTGTGAGTACTACAGAGTAGAACTCTAGGTGGAAAATACATGTAAATGCAGGTGTATATCGGCAACTGTTTGAAGTTAAAAATGATTTATCGGTAATTAACTTCAAAATTTCTAATATTCCCTTTAAATATTAATAAAAAAAGTCTGATTTGTAATTTAAACGAGCAAAATTTACCTGTCCTCTATTCCAACAGTTCATTAATCGCTGTTTATACAGTAGTTACATGTATATGTTTATATAGTTAATTATTTGTTTACATAAAAATTCCACCTATTCTCACCTAAAATCTTACCTTTCCCTACCTGATTTTCAAAAATTGGGAATAGGTAGAATAAACCAAACCTGCATATCCAACATAGAGTTAGTCCCTCCCCCATACGTTTGAAAAGTGGAAGTACCCATCCACTTTTTGATTTGAATAGTACATGGAATATAATAGTAATTAATCTATGTAAAAGGTATAGTGACATAGCAAATTGGAAATGCTCGAAGCCGGTACCTTTTTTTTGTGAGTCAATATTTATCTAAATTGAGCATCCCCCAAACTTTCCACTTTGTGACTACGCCTTTATCAAAACGGTGCTAGTTAAACAACAATTAAACCAACATGGAGCACCTTAGCCGATCAGGAGCCATATTTGATGCAGTATGAGCTTAATTTTTTTTTCCGCTGTAAAATTATAATTTACTATTTCAATGACAGAGAAAAAAGTTCATATCAACTTTATGATGGGAAAAAAAAAATGAATGAAGCCAGATTACATCGTACAAATTTGAAATCATACAGAAATCTTTCTTCTGGTAAATTTTAGTCTTATTAATCACAGGGACCTATATACTGTATAGGTCCCTGTTAATCATAAAGGAAATTACGTTCTTAAAACTGAAAGCAGCCTCGCGTAACTTATATATTGTCAAGGTGCAAGATATGCAGACATGTTTTAAATGAATAACATTTTAAAATATAAATATCAATGAACGAAATCAGTTTCCAAGAAGTTATTTAATATAGAAAGCGTGGCATATTATCGATCGGGCTCAATGATTTTTGTATGCTGTGACGTCATATCGAAGGTCGAGATCTTCTCGAATGGGGTTGACATGCACTATATAGATTCATTTAGGCTATTAAATAAAGATACATCAAAATGCTTTATGTCTATATTAAAACTGTAACCATGAATAAGTGGAGATTTAAAAAAATACTCATAAACATCAAGAGTGATATTAATTTAACAGTCAATCCAGAGGAGTTCTGATGACGTTCCCCATAAAGATGAGTGATAAAAAACATTCCCCATAATTTTTAATTACATACTGAAACGACAGATAGGTAATTTTTAGGATAAGAAAGGAGAGACTACATCAAAACAGATATTTTCTATAAAAATTGCCCTTTATTTAAATAAAAACATAATAGGAAAGCACTTTCCCCATAACATATTCCATCCGTCCAATTCCTCACAAGTCGGTTATGATGGGTAAGAGAGAGAGAGAGAGAGAGAGAGAGAGAGAGAGAGAGAGAGAGAGAGAGAGAGTATGTAACAAGGTAACCGAATTGCATTAGGTATAACTTCGTTTAAGTTAGTATTTTTTTTTTCTCATTGGAATGCGCATGCTCGGAACTTTCAGCATAAGGCAATCTGGTAATTCAATAAAATCCTTTTCATGTCAGTTTAGTATTATCTCAGTTTTGTGTTTTTATATCTACCTGTACCAAAAATAAACCTATGTATTATTTAACCAGGACCGAAGCTTTACTAAAATCAGTTGTTTTTGTTGTTGCTGTTTTTATTTGAAGAAAAGGTTGGTAATAAAAACCCTTTTCTAAGCTAACACACTGGAATATTGAAAAGATAGTATCCTTAAAAAAATAATTATAGTTAACTATAGTAAATCAAATTTTCAAAGTTATCACTACAGTAAATCATAGTTTTCAAAGTGATCACTATAGTGTCAAAGTTATTACTATAGTAGATCAAAGTTTTCAAAGTTATCAGCATAGTAAATCAAATTTTTCATAGTCATCACTAAAGTATTTCAAGGTTTTCATAGTTATCGCTATAGTGTCAAAGTGATCACTATACTAAATCAGTGTTTTCAAAGTTATCACAATACTAAATCAAAGTGTCAAATTATCACTTTAGTTTACTATAGTTTTCATAGTGTCAGAGCTATCAATATAAGTTAACTATAGTAAACTTATACCCCATTCATACAACACGATTTGCATACCTCAGTATATTTTACACATATGTAAATTAACTTACATGTGCAATTTTTGTCGTATGAACTGATTTGCTCATATGCAAATTATGCACAGTTGAGTAAATTTGCACCTGGTCAGGACAAGGTGTAAATTAACTTTTGCATACACGTTGTCGCAAAATATTTGCTCCCGTGTGTAAAATTTGTCGTATGAACACGCAGCAAATTTACTTATGTTAAGCCCCGTTCACATGCGCTGATTTACTCACCGGGTGTAAATTTTGCATACATGCAAAATTTGCACTCGGGTGTAAATTTGAGCATGTGAACGCAATTGCATATTATGCAAAAGTAAATATACATATGTGCAAATATACACCCGGGTGTAAATTTGCGCCTACTCAGACAAGATGCAAATTTACTTTTGCATATATGTAAATTTACTCCTAGTGTATTTTTCGGCATGTGAACGCACAGCAAATTTTACTCACGTATGCAAATACTCCGTATTGCGTTATTGCCTAATTTAATCAAGGCGTGTCTGTGATACCATACATAAGTTAACATAAAAATGGCTGCCAGAAGAAGGGGAACCGCATGGCCAGAAGAAGAAACACTTACATTGCTGTCTATCTGGGAAGAGAATGAAATTGAGGAGCAATTAGAAAACCCCAAAACAAACAATACAAGCATTTACAAGACTATTTCCTCCGAAATGACAGACAAAGGTTACAAACGGACTCCAGAACAATGTAAGGTTCGAATGCACACTCTGAAGCGTTCTTATCGTCAGTGTAAAGGTAACACGAAGGAAAGTGGAAAGGGAAGGAAAACATGCAAATATTTTGAAAAACTTGATGCAATTTTGGGAACTCGACCTGCATCCTCCCCAGTTAAGGTGATCGAAAGTGGAATTCGCAAACGCTGTGCTGATTTCTCTTCATCAAGCGAGAAAAGTAGTGACGAAGTACAAGAAATCAAACAGGCATCTGAAGAACAATCTGCTGAAAAAGGAGACAAAAATGAAGATCTGACCATGGATGCAATGCATCCCCTGACCGAGGAAACAGCCAAGGAAATAACATTGACTGGGGATAAGAAAGAGCAGGAGATAGCAAGCAAAGCAAATGACCCAAAACCCCAAAAGAAGAAGGAAAGTACAGTGAAAAAAGACGGTAAAGGGAAGAAAGCAAAAAAGAGTAGATTGGAGGTAGCTCTTGGAGCCGTTATGGAAGGTTTCAGCACCACAAACGAAAAGTCGGAGGACAAATTCTTGGAATTTGAAAAGAATAAGCTTGAGATAGAAAAGAAAAAATTGAACTAGAAAAAGCCAAACTGGAGTCGGAAGAACGACAGAAACGAGAGGAACGCCAGCATCAATCCAATATGATGAATCTGATTATGGGGATGGTTGTTGGGCAGCGTCCCTCAGGGCTTAACACTAATGTACCACAATCCTCATTCATTGGAGGCTCAGGACCTACCCGTATGTGCTACGTACCCCAATCTCAAAGTACCTCTTTCGTCTTACCTACTCCAGCGTCAAGGGAAAATGGGCCATCAAAGGAGGACAGTGCCAGTAGCTTTGTTGATGCAACTTACTATAATTTGTAAATGTGAACAAAAGGAATAAGCATAATGGAATATACAAGCATCAATCTTGCGTACATGTTCTCTTCTTTAAAGTGTAACATAAGTTTAAAAACTCATTTTTCCCCACCAAAGTACGTAAATGTACCATTGTATGTGATTATTCATTATTTTGTTTGAAATTGTTTAATAAATACTTCATTAAAATAAACAAACGAAAACTTTCTCTCATTTATTCTACATTCCAGTGAAAATTAAATCTTTACCTCAATGTGCAACGTCAATAGAAACTGATTTGTTGCAATTTCATCACGTATAACGAAACATCTAGATCATAGGTTCATTGTACATTTATATACCTTTCAAAATGTCCCAGCCGATATCATCAAATGCTCTTTAAAAAAATTAAATAAATGTCAAAGAAGGTCATTAGCAAAACAAAGCACAAGGTCATCACGGATCTGCTTAGCAGATGGATACTCCGTTGCATCAATATCCTCCTCAAGGACGTCATCATTGTCGTTATCTTCATTGTTGGTTTCGTTCCATTCAGGTCTGTATATTTCATTACTTAGCTCGCAGATGTTGTGTAGAACCACACATGTGGCTATTACTGTACAGGCGAACTGGACATCTACATCTAGCCGTTTTGATAAACATTTCCATCGACCTTTCAGTCTTCCAAATGAATTTTGTATTGTCATCCTGGCTCTGCTCAATCGATGACTGAAGTCATGCTGAAGGCGATGGAGGTTAGTCCTGTTTGAAAATGGTTTCATTAACCATGGTTTTAGAGGATAGGCAGGATCACCAATCAATACAATGGGCATGGATATTTCGCGCCCTTGAAACTGAACCTTCAGATCACAGTTAGGAAACAATGTTCCATTTTCACCCATGTGCAAGATATCTGAGTTGGCGAAAATTCGAGCATCATGAACTCGTCCGGGCCAGCCAATATTTATATTCCGGAAAATATACTTATGGTCGCACACAGCTTGCATGACCAACGAATAGTAGCCTTTCCTATTCAGGTAGTCTCCGTGTGCTTCAGCTGGTGCAATGATTGGCACATGTGTTCCATCAATGGCTCCACCACAATTTGGAAATCCCCATTGATCGTTGTATCCTTTTATAACAGTTTTAAGGTCCTCTCCAGATGGAAAAGAAACATATCTCTGTAGAAGATTATCTTTAATAGCATTGCAAACCTTGTGTACAGACTCACACACGGTTGATTTTCCAACCCCAAACAAGTTCCCAATTGTTCGGTACTCTGTTGTCGATGACAGCCAGTACAATGTCATAGCAACTTGCTTTTGGACCCCTAGTGGCTGGCGAACACAGTTTTCCTTGGGAGCCAAGTAATTGTCCAGATCATTACAAAGCATTTCGAATGCACGTCTTCCCATTCGAAAGTTTTCAATCCACTGAGAATCGTCAAACATTTGTAAAGCAATTCTGTCGTACCAGTCTGTTGACCTTTCCCTAGCCCATTAATCTCTTAAACGACCTAGGCCAGCGCAAAAACCTAAAGATAAGCAGTAAGGGAATATCCTCCTTCTGATGAACCTAAAATAATCCGCCATCTTTTTTGTTAAACTTCATGAATCATTGCCATTTGATCTAATTTATTAAGTACCATGTGAACGCTTAGCAAATATACTTTTACACCCGGGTGCAAATTTTGCATATATGCAAAAATTACACCCGGTGAGTAAATCAGCGCATGTGAACGGGGCTTAAGTTTTTCGTCATGTGTATTGCATCAATCTCCGTTTTAAGTGTTGTTATGGTTGTATATGCATTGGCATGTAAAATATCAGTCGGTTAACATGGCTGCTAGAAAGTAAAGCTCTAAAAATACGCGGATTTTCAAGGGTCAGTCCTGTGCTAAGTAAACAAAAATTGAAAGTGAACCGAGTTACTGTAAGGATAGATCTGTTGGTGTATGGCTTCAAAAGCCAAGTCTTCAAGGGTATACCTGTGTCGCCGAGAAGTACTACTAGCATAGTAATTTCTCCAAACTGCTTTCTCCACTCTGGAAACAAGGAACCATTATCTCCTCTGAAATAAATTTTCGAATATGCAAAAACGCGGGCATCGTGACCCTTCCTGGCAAACCTGTTTATGTCTCTAAAGATATAGCTGTGGTCGCAAACACCCTGCAGATTCAATGAGTAGAATCCCAAGTAATCTTCGTGTGAATGCTTGGGAGCTATGATACGAATATGCGTGCCATCAATCGCTCCACCATAGTTTAGCCCTTGATGACTTTCTTCATCCTTTCTCAGTTTTAAACTGAGGCAGGCTACTGACAGATAAGTTTATATTACAAGGATTTCAACAACCTCGTTTCAAGTCAGCATTTGGTAAATAGATAGATTTCATATGACACATTTTCAATTCGAGTTATTTCCCTTGGTCGCCATCTTGGAGATCAAACTGGTATTTGAGCAGAAATAAAAGGGCAAAAATCTTTGAATTACTAAACCTATGAACTTTGTTAACATATATTCGTAAGAAAAACTGTGTTATCTTCGCCTCATTGTCCAGTATAAGAAGTTTGAATTGGTTGAATTATGAAGGAATCTGGCCTTGTTGGCGCCCAATATGGGAAAATTACTCTATGGTCATTATAATGATCTTATTAGCAAATATAACCTATCATTGGATCGTATTTTGGCTGACTTCTTTCATACCAATTGTTAGGACTTTGTTTATACTTAATTTGACTACAGAATGATCAATACGTAGGGCTTATGGCGGGTGTGACCGGTCGACAGGGAATGCTTACTCCTCCTAGGCACCTGATCCCACCACTTGAATTTCCAGGGGTCCGTGTTTATTCCCTCTTCACATATTTGTATTGTTCGAAGATTTTTGAGATCGATCACAGTTTATTATCTTCACCCTTTTCATTCTCCTTCTGGAAAATGCACATATTCTTCAAGCAGATGTCCCATAATGGCCTCGTAAACTTGATGTTTGTAATCATACATGGTAGATTTCCCAACACCAAAATGATTTCCAATCGTACGTCCCTTATTCCGCTGAAGACGCTAACCAGTAGATGGTAACAGCCACCTTCTTCTTTACATCCAACGGCTATTCTACAGTCTTTGGGTCGGGACAAAAGCATTTCCCTACTTCTCACAAAACTTTATGAAATTTATGAAATTTTATGAAATTTTCCTTAAACATTCGAAAATTCTTATACCAATCTTCGTCCTTTAAGTCATAAGGAACGGTTCTGTCGTACCAATTTTTGGAACGAATTTTTCTTCTACTTTCTTTGAGGAACATCCAAAAGTTAATCCTATACCTAAATAGTAAGTTAATCCTATACCTAAATAGTAAGTTAATCCTATACCCAAATAGTAGTTTTTTCTGTGAAAATTCACAAGTCTGAGGCGGTCCATCTCCTTATTTTAAATGACAATTTGAGGATTTACTTATTGTACATAAATCTCGTCTGAACGCATAGCAAATTAACTTTTACTTATGTGTGTAAAGTTACTCATCTGTAAATTTGCACACATAAGCAAATTTTCGTCGCATGAATGGGGTATTAGTTAACTATAATTTAATAATTACTATAGTATTTTTTGTAAGGGTAAACGACACATACTTAGAGCTTTTTCTGATTCTGAATTCGTATATGCAAAATAAAGTCATTGCCGTCGAGATCACACTGGACGCCCCCCCCCCCCCGAAATGCAGCGCATCCCTGACTATCCCCTAGCAAAGAAGTTGGAGACTATACATTAACGAACTTGTGAGTGTGTGTGTGGTTAAGTGAGTGTGTTAGTGAGTGTTTGCATAACGTTCTGTTTACTCTAGAAAAGGCAAAGGGTTTTAGAACATTAAGAGATGTATATTATCAGTTGAACAGATAAAGATAAAACTAACTACTTTTGTACTCCTCTGTAAAGTTGGAATGGTACCTAGTCTCTCGGTTTATTGCTTTTGCACATTGTCTTGACAAACAGCATGAAAAAATAAATGAAATTGAGGAAATGCCAAGATTAAAAACATATACGGCAAGGAAAAAGTAACGCATATCTAAATACATAAGGTTAGCATTTATTACTATGCGACACAATGATAGTTAATTATAATTTTAAGTAATACTTTATTCATAATTGTCATAAATAAAGGCATAATATCATATCAAACGACATTTAAGCACCGCAGTTATTGACTGTAGGGAGTAGGGGTCTGAATTTCAAAATTCAAAATTTCAAAAGTCAATATCGTGTATGTCGTAATCCCGTATTTATTGCAGCTGATGTCATTTTGAGCGTGGAATTGATCAGATGGTAGATTTTTCGAATAGATATGAGATTTCGCTCCGCCATAAGAGCTTGCATACTGCCTATTGGCGGTGCTTGAAATGAAATTTCAGAGTCAAATTTGTCGATCAATTTCGTCCCATAATTACTTTTTGGAGACAATTCGGGACTAAATGGGGACTATTGTGAGTCCGTACGTTGTAAGCCACATGGAAATATCAGTATACTCTAGGAACGTGCGTTCTTTTCATGGAAAGATGTGGTTCTAAAAGGATGTCAGCCGTGCTTCGCAGTACAGTTAAGGTACCAAATGAAAATTTCGGCGAATTTTTTAGATAGAAAATACATTCTTTACAAGGATGTACGATTCTTTCTAGGCCTTTACTATTATCGGACAAATTTCATGTTGTTGAAAACTACATGTGGAGGACGTTTAGAATTCTTATTTAGATTTGTCACGTAATGTGGCAGTCACGTGATTTTAGCAAATATACCTGTAGTATTGAGGTCTTCTATAAATTCTAATATTGCAAGGGCATAACCAAGTTAAAAATCTAAGTTTAATTTATTATCATTTTCAGCACTCTTGGTAGTTTGTGAAAAGTGCCTCGACCTATATAGATTGTATCATATAATTGCTAAAATTACATTTGTTAGACCGTACGTTGAATATTTTGCTGGTCAAGTACATTAAATGAAGATATAATTAATTCATTTGCAAGATTTCATCAGGTTCGCAGCACTTTTCAAATATCTTCATACCTCTTGAGTTTATGTGTAAAAGCTTGTCGTAATTCATTGAGGGTATGCCCTTGCAATATATCGATTTATTACTACTCTTCTATTACCGTTCAATGAATCTGCATACAAATGTAAGGCAGTTTCGCTTGTCTAGGGAATGTACGGGAAGTATTTGAATGAAATCATTAAATAGACATCGCATCCAAGTTAATGGCCTCTTTTATATCTGCAATTAATATTTTATTTAATTACAGAATACATTTTTCATTGTATAAAATACAACTTGATCCGCCTCTCACTGCATACAAACTGCGTCAAATTTTACGATATGACGTCACCTTGACAAGTGCATTGCGATCAGTGAATTGTTTATATATTGCTGTGTTGGATTTAATCAACGACAAAAATACGTGCAATAGTAAGTATTGATGTAGTTTAAAGGTATCCAACAGTTTAAATCAGCATATCATTTCATTTTGTGGTAATTTGAAGAACATATATTTTTGTGTGATGTCATAGTAAGCATTTCCCGAAAAAGTAAGGCCCCGCCTCCTTATTGCGGCCTTAACTGTGCTGCGTTTGAGGTCTGCCTCTAAGAGACTTTTGCGAACAGTTTCTCTCAAATTCTGGCATTGTGGTGTCCAGGAATGTTAGTAGCAGTTTTACTTGCAATTCGAAATCGTTCCGTCGGTAAAGTAAACGATTCTCCCTGACCGAAAGTCCCGTTGCCTCCCGAAGACATCCGTTTCTTGGATGGTCTTGCACGCTTCCTGTTAACATTAGATTTTCTTCTAATCGCGATAAAGTAGTTTGGAACACATTAAATTGCGGAGTAAATTGCTCCGCAGTTTATTCTGATGGTGTCTTTGCATTAGGAAGTCAATAACCAGACCTTACAGAATTTCAGTAGGAGGTTGCATCTTTTAGGATCAAAATCTGATCAAATTTCACCGGACATTTTCAAAAAAAAAAAATCATTGGAAATTGCAAAAATGCTTCAACACATCCAAAATTTTAGCTACATGTCTTTCAAACTGAAGCGCAAAGGCAAACTACTAGTGCTCACGTCGAACACACCAGAGTCATGGTTGAGTGATTTTCTACTGCATATCCATTTCTGGACATTATTTAAACCTCAAATAAATTCAAAACTATATTAACCATGATTAGACGCAGTTGCAGTATATCAATTAAAAATATGCATTTTTTTTCCTTTCAGTATATTTTTTTTTCAGCTTTATATCAAAAGTTTAAAGAACAGCTGGTACTTCATCCGACTAATGCACCTTCAATGATTCCTCTACAAAAGAAAGATAAAGACTTGATATACTAATAAGGATATGATATATCTACAA